ACTAGGGAGGAGAATTTAGAGGTTTCACTCAGTATCTTTCTCAACAAGGCATCATTCATAGATTAGTTTATCCTCACACACATCATCAAAATGGTGTGGTTGAGAGGAAACATAGACACATTGTTGAGCTTGGACTTACACTTCTAGCTCAATCTCAATTGTCGTGCAAATTTTAGGATCATGCTTTTCTAACTAGAGTATATCTTATTAATAGACTTCCAACTTCATCTTTAAATTTTGAAATTCCTTTTATAAAACTTTTTATAAGCAACCTAACTACCATTTCTTAAGAGTCTTTGGTTGTTCTTACTTTACCTTACTTAATTAGGCAATACAACAAACACAAATTTTCATTCAATTATCAAAAGTATGTTCCTTAGGTTACTCTATTTATCACAAAGGTTATAAATCTCTTTCTTCCATTGGTCAAATTTTTGTTTCCAAAGATGTTACATTTAATGAGCATCAACTTCTCTATTCTACTTTTTTTTCCTACTCCTACAGTTTCACATCCTAGTTTTATTTCCCTTCCATCAATACCCATAAGATATCCCTATATTATTTCCACTTCATCCTCACAGTCTATCACATCACTAATTGTCTCTTCTCATCATAATACCTCATCTTTACAAGATATTTCTCATTTTGTTTCCTTACCTACTTAAGAGGTTTCCTATGATAGTTTACTATCAGCTTCACCTTTGTTTCCTACTAATGTATGTCCTTAAAATGTTCACCCCATGCATACTTGAGCTAAGTCTGATATTGTTCAAAGATGTATTCATCCAACTCTCTTACTTACTCATGTTGAACCAAAATCTCACAAACAAGCCCTTGTTGATCCCACTTGGTTGGCTGCTATGCAAACCAAATATTCTTCTTTTTTCACTCAAAATACATGGACTCTAACATCTTTTCTTGTTGGACAACATCCTATTGGTTGTAAGTGGGTGTGTCAAGTTAAGGAAAATTTGGATGGCACAATTAATAAATATAAAGCTCGTCTTATGGAAAAGGGTTTTCATCAACAATTTGGTTTTGATTATAATAAAATGTTTACTCCAGTAATCAAACCAATAGCAGTTCATCTTGTTTTGATTTTGGCTCTTACTCATAGCTGGCCTTTAAAGCAAATTAATGTCAATAATGCATTCTTAAATGGATTTCTTGCAGAAGAAGTATATATGTGTCAACCACTGGGGTTTGAGGTTGCTAACAAATCATTGGTCTGTAAACTGGACAAGGTCATCTACCGTCTAAAATAGGAACCACATGCTTGGTTTGAAAGATTGCAAGCTACATTATTCCAACTTCATTTTACTACTAGTAAATGTGATCCTTCGTTGTTCATATATTCCAAAAATGGTTCTAAAATATATGTTTTGGTTTATGTGGATGACATTATAATTACAACCAGTAACTCATCACTCATTTAGACTTTTATCCAACAACTCAACTCTAAATTTTCTCTCAAGGGACTAGGTGACTTGGATTATTTTCTAGGGATTGAAGTTCGCTTTAAACTTGATGGTTCGCTTTATCTTACTCAATCCAAGTATATTAGGGATATTCTTTCAAAAACCAGTATGTTGAAGGCCAAACCTATTTCTTCACCAATGGTTGTAAACTAACTAAAACTGGTTCAAAAGTTTTGTCTGATGCATCTCTATACAGATCTATTATTGGAGTTCTTCAATATGCAACAATTGTTAGAAAAGAATGGCCCAATCCAAGAGGGGGTGAATTGGATTCAATGACCCTTTAAAAAATTTATCAGAGTTTTTGGATCTTAAATTCAATCAAAACTTTTCTATGACAGAATTTTCAAATGAAGCACTCTTAAAGACTTGTTACAATGATATGAATGCAATGTGCAACTTGATTACAAGACAATGAGGTTCAAATATAATATCCAATTATAGATTTAAACCATCAAAATTCACATACACATGTTAATCAAGTTTTATCTTCTTTAAAGCACAACCAAGAAATTACAAAATAAGAGATAAGGTTGAAGAAGATTGCACAAGTCTTTTATACTGGTTCAGCCACTCCACATGTGACCTACATCCAGTCCTTAATCACCACCTGATTAAGATTTGATCCACTATCTTTTAGCAAGAAGGTTTACAAGCACACACACATGCATATACTTCACTACAAAAAGATAACCACTTTCTTGACCCCAAGAAAGTAACCCTTGTAGAACCCACTACAAGAAACTTCACCACTTGAGAAACCCTTCTCAAGATTTTTCACAAAGATTCACAAAGAATAAAATGAAACGAATTCACCTGGAATTCTTGAACAAATCTTTGTCTTCCTCTTTCAAGAGTATGATGATGATGATGATTTCCTCACAAGCTTTTCACAAACGTTTTTCTCTTGGATTTCACAAAGAAAACTCTCCAAGATGTCACACAGACTCTCTAAAACGTTTTTACCAGTTGATTATCAGTTTTTACTCAATGTTATGAAGTTTCAAAAGAGTTCAAACTATTTATAAAAATTCAAACCCAGATAATCGATTATTTTAAAGAATAATCGATTATTTTGTTCTTCAGATTTCTGGAAATCAATCAAGAACAATTTAATCGATTATTTAGCTGGATAATCGATTATTCCAGAGAGTTGTTCCTGAAATAATCGATTATTTTGGCAAATAATCGATTATTACAGCAAGGCATTCCACTTAGCCCACTTGCTGAAATAATCGATTATATTTAACAATAATCGATTATTTTGAGTCAGTTCTTAAAACTTCATTTTAAGTCTCAAAATAATTTTCCAATGTTTAACTCATCATCATCTACTCCCTACTTGATTCTAGACAAGATTTGCTCAATGCACAAAGCACACACAGACACAAATATAACAATTCATTTATAACAATTTGCTTCCTAAGCTCTATTACATAGCTATACTTCAAGGTATTTTTCTTGAATCTTCCTTGACTTTGTTTTTGTGTTCAATGTTGTTGTTGTACACTTGTTGTCTCCAAGTTGTTGTGATCATCAAAACTCTTAAAGTCTTCAGCTCCCCTAAGCTCAACAACAATTACTCATTTAGAAATCAACTTTGATATTAATAAAGTCTGCTAGTTTATGTCTTCTCCTCTTAAAGATCATTGGTCATTTGTCAAATGCATATTACGTTATCTAAAAGGCATCATTACTTGGGGATTGCATCTACTACCTACTCCTACATCTGCTCCCTTTTCTTTGACAACATTTTGTGATGTTAATTGGGTTGTAGATCCAGATGATCGTAGATCCACTTTTGGTGCATGTGTTCTTCTTGGTCCAAATCTCATCTCACGGTGGTCCAAGAAGCAAGTTGTAGTGGCTTGATCTAGCACTGAGGCTAAGTATCGTAGTCTTACTCTAGCTACTACAGAGGTTCTTTGGATTCAGACCTTATTGTCTAAACTTGTTGATCATAATAGACCAATAATTTATTGTGATAATCTCAATACATTTGCCTTAGCCCCAACTATGTTCTTCTTGCTTGTACAAAACATCTTGAGTTAGATTTTTTCTTTGTTAGAGAAAAGGTTTTGACCAAGCAACTTAAAGTTGTTCATGTTCCAACTTCAAAACAGCATGCTAATATTCTTACTAAAGCTTTTGCCCCCTCTCGATTTTGCTTGCTTCAATCCAAACTCAGTTTGGGTAATTGTGCTATTTTTCACCCAACATGAGTTTGTAGGGGGTATTAGGGTATAAGAAATAAAAAGCATTTTTTGCTTATATTTTACAATGTACTTTTCTTTTCTTTGTTAAATGGGTTGGGCCCAATATGTTGCTGACTCATTGACTGTTGTATCAAACTATATATAGGTGAATTCTATCTTTTGTAATTATCTTAACATAATCAATACAGTTACTATTCACTTACATATTTTCTCTTTGTATGAATTTCTTCAATTTCATGTGTAATAAATTGCCCTTCAAAGCTTTATTTTGCACACTTGTATCCCTTCTTTATTCTTAAATTCATAGTCTCTTCACTCCCCCGAGAGGTCTACATATCATTTCCTTGTGTCTTTGAAGACCTTTCTTGCTAACTCTTCCTTGAAACTAATTTGCTTTCTCCTTTTAATTGCCTCCACTCGATCCTTAAAATTCCATCCTGAAGTTTGCTCTTTCCTATCTTATCAACTCTTACTTCCATGATAAAGTCTCTGTGCTGAGTATTCAAGCTCTTCTTCTCAAATATCACTTCATTTCATTATTTTTGTTTAACTTTAAAATCCATGACCAAGTCTCTAAAATGAGTACTCAAGCTCTCTCCAAGTATCACTTTATTATATTGTAATTTCTTACTATAACTCTCATGTACAAAACTAATGAGAGTGAATGTTATACAAAACAAAACTTATGTTCAGTATCATAGTTACGATTGATATTGTTCTCCAATTAAAATTGAAATTTCACCCTAGTAATATGCATAAATGGATATTATTGAAGTTTGTATTAAATGTAAACACATTACTAAGGTGAAACTCTAATTGTGATTGGAAAGTGGTATCTCTTAAGAAAGTGAATTTAAAACCTAACTCAACTTTACGAAATCGATTTGTAAGATGAGAATTACTTCTACTTATAAATACTAGTATGATCATTTCACTAGTTGATGTGAGTTTTCCAACACATCCCGTCACACACTAGACTAGACATTCCTAACAAAAACTTCGTAGGATACCCTTTGATATCATCTTAGAATGTGAGTTATTAAACCTAATTCAATCTTATAAAATCGACTTGTCAAGTGAATATTACTCTTCACTTAAATATATTATTATGATCTTATCACTAATCAATGTTTGATCTCTATCAATATCAACAATACCTATGTTACTGTATCAAAGCTTTGTCCTATTATATATTGCATTTTTTTGTACAAATTTTGATAAAATTATTTGAATGTGAGAGATTGAGATTATAATCCTTCATTATAAATAGATGTACAATGAGGAAAATTTGTGCGATAGCGGGATAAGTACCAAGGAGAAGTCCAATTTCACAATATTCAAGAGAGAAAAATTATTACATAAATCTCAATACACAGTCCAATGGTTGAAACCAAGGGCACATAATGACACCAAAATTCAACCTAATGTTGCCTGCGAGTTACATAATTCTGTAGTCACTAGTCAACTACATCTAGTTGCTTATATAATTTACAGAACAACATCAATAATCAAGATAACTTCAAAGTATGCTCACCTGTAGTAAATTATATTTATTGATTGATACAAAGTACCCTCCTAAATGCCGGCAAGCTTACCCTATTATCTTTGCATATACATGAACTACCTACCATTTGATAGATAGCATAGTGAACATTTTGTGCTGAACATCTGATGTGAAGTTAAACCTCCCCCACATATTTTGATGACAGCTTCTATCACAGATGTACATACTCAGAACCAAGACTTTCACTCTTCAATTAAAAAAAAAGAAAAAAGCACAGGCCTACTGCAAAGAATATCTGATATACAACATTAGATTGACCCATACTCCAATGATTCCCAGCTGAAGGGCTGGAAAACATAATAGACTTTGGGTGAGCTTTTAAAGAGCAATGCCACACAGACACACACGGCTGCAATGGCCACCATCGACAGCATTGCCGGCCTATAAACAAGTGTAGTTCTTCTCACACCACCATACGCCAGCTTGTGCTGGCATAGCCCACAATGGTGTGGCGTTGCTGTTGTTTCAATCTTCTCAGTCTGCAAACTTGAAACTTTTGATGACCGATGCCCTTCTGATTGCTTCTGCTTTGTGTTACTATCAACAAGGGTACCTGGGATATCAAGAACATGCTGACTTCTGCATGTCTTGCTTGTTTTCCTCTGGACAAGTTGAATGTAGGAGTAGTAGCCCCGCAAGGATGCATAGTCATAGGGTGTCAAACCTGTCGTGTCCTTAGCACCTTTCCATGCTTCAGTTGCCACCTGAACATGGCAAACATAGGAGTAAAACATTTTGTACTAAATCCTTACGCATGTAATTCACATAGGAGTAAAACATTAACAATACACATTGAACTGCAACGTGCACAGGAACTTGCCCAAGAAGGTGAAAAGTGTGAAAGAAGAATGCTTTTAATTAACAGAATAAAGGGGTGTTGGGAAGAACTTGGTGCATATTTGAGCTTACAAAAGTGACGTTATGAGAGTTATACGTAGAACTTGTTTGGATATAAACTTAAAAAGACTTTTGAGAACTTATTTAATGAAAATAAAGAACTTTTTCCAGTAGAGAAACTTTTAAAAACATTTCTAACTTATACCCAAATAGACTCTTATACTCCTTCTGTAAGTACTTTTCAACTAATTACAATAAATTTCATGTGAAACTTAATATAGATAAGCTCATATGATATGGTTTAAGTGATTAAGTTGTTCGCCCAAATGTTCCCTAAATAATAGTTGTTTAACTGTAGTCTTTATACCCACCTTTCCCACCCCTATTTATGGTAATAGTTAAAAAGATCTATAGGATTTGTTTGGATAAACTTCTTCAAAAAAACTTATAAGAGAAGAAAATAAGAAAAACATGAAATTAGCTTCTCTAAAACATAAGCTAATTTATAAAAGCTCATTCATATTAGCTTCTCCAAAAACATAGTTTCAATTAATGCATAAGCTAATTTTATCTTATGGAGAAAGTTATTTCATTTTTCCTTCATATTTATTTTCTTTTCTTTCAAGTTATTTTGGAGAAATTTATTCAAAACAGACCCATATGTTGCATACAGAAGAGAAAGGAATTACCATTCCTGGATCATCAGTTAATGCATCCAATACATTCTCTGAGCCATGCATACTTGCTGCAACATGAAGGGGAGTCAACCCAGCAGGCCCAATAGTATCAGGTCTGAATAAGAACCTGTCAGGGGACTTCTTGACTTGATTCTCTTTACCATCTCCATCATCTGAAGCTTTAAGTGGCACAAATTTTAACAGTAGTTCCACCATAGGCCTGCAATTTCTTTTTACAGCATTGTGCAGAAGACCCATCTCTAACAATGCAAACTCAACAGAGGCATGATCTCCTGTATCAACAGTGCCCTCAAAGATAATGTCCAAGAGTTTCTTCATCACAGCACACCAGTCATGGTCCATAGCGAAGCCGACAAGCCACATGAACCGATTAAAATGGAATCGATCTTGGACAGGCGCCATGGACCCTAGCCTAACTTTCACACGATTTCGATGAAGGAGCCAACCCATTTCTTGTATGAAATGCAATGCTCGAGTCTTCTCTTCCATTAGTTTGGATTTTATCTGGATGTCATCAGCAGTCTCAGCAACCTCAATGACATTCTCCAGCTTACATATCTCTGAACAAATTTCTTTTTCTGCTACTATGAATGGAAAGGAACAGCTGCTAAGACCATTATCTTCCACCTGAATATAGATTATCAAATCTGATATTAAATATGGCTTTAAAATCTAGAGAAAAAGAAATTCCATTTGTTCAGAATATCTTTTATCTGATTCTAACACTAGACAATTCTCTGATTCATTAGCAGAAACTATCTATCTACATGCTTTGTATGGATAGGTTACTTGTCTCCATTCAGCAATTTCTTAAACCATTTTCTAAGAAATTTGAAAAGTTATTGTTTGGTGTCAGAAATAAATCATCAGTTTTACAAAACTAGTTTTGCCTAAGAAAAAACCACATAGTTGCATATTAATATGTGTCTCAATACATGAAAAAAGGGGGAGGGGTGATGTCAAAAACTACAAACGACCTTCAAAGTTTATTAAAGTCACCAAATGGCAGGCATCAATAACAGTATATATCCAATCAAAGATAAATTGATGAAGGAAGTTTCAAAAGTATGCTGCAGTTCCTTCTGAGCTTCAGCCAACATAAAGAAGTCCCCATTGAAGAATAAAAAATTATTTCACGAACTTTTCTGAAGAGAAGGCCTGTGCAAAAATAAGAAAAATAAAATTGAGTATAAGTGGGTACCACCTCAATAAACCCTCTTCCAGTCACATTCGGTATGTGACATGAGAAGCTGAAATGCTGAAGCTCATGGTGCTCATTGGCTACATCAGCACCGTCAATCAAATTATAACAACTATCTTGTACCAAATATTTCCCTTCAAGAGCACAGAGCAACCTGAAATCAAGAGGAAGGGATTAAAATTCTGGTCCAATTGTAGTATATAAAATCCAGAGCACTGATCTTCCTCCATTCCCAAATTTATATTATATTGAAGAGGAGTGCTGGCAACACTCATTATTATTGGTTAAAATTTATTGAAAACTACAAAATCATGAGTAAAACTCATTAAAAATAAGCATTGAGATATAAAATTTTGTGATTTACGATAAGTTTCAATAGTAAAAAATGTTCAAAAAAAAGTATCAGAAAGTGTTGCTAGTATTTCTGTCTATATAAAAGGAATTGTCTAGCCTTTTTACCACGTGGACTCTAATCTTTTGCCATGTGGATTTTGAATCTGCCATTTGGCAAGAACTGATACACTTTTTAATTGTATTATTAATACTTTTTAATTTTCAAAACCAATATCTATCACTTTTAAAATGCTTAAAGTTTATCCCTCTCTTTTTTTTTCTTTTCAGCAAATTACCCATCAAATTTTGTATTTTTTTCCTCTTCCTATGTTTTTCTTCTCTTAAAATATATACACTTCAAAAAAATGTAAGAAAAAAAAAAACATCATTCAAAAATTTACTTAAGATTTCATTTTTCTTTAACAATCAATCATTGACAATCATATTTATATATATTTCTATAACAGTAAATTCACATTTAAATGATTAAAATGACAAATTAAGAATTTTAAAAAAATTATCTTAAATTAAAATAAATATTGGTCACAAAGAAATATTAATATTTATTTTTTCATTTCCATTTAATATTTAAATTAGATACATTAGTTTTTCTCAATCTTTATTTTTTTGGTCCTACTATGGGTATTCCCAACTCACTGGACCAAAAACTAACTCACCAGCAGTACTGTGACTGCACTAGCCGAATGGGTTTTTACACACGACGGGGATCAAACACAAGTTCACCAATAAATAGATCATCTTGACAACATGTGAGTGCAAATTGTCTAACCACTATGTCAATTCATGGGGTTTTTTTCTCAACCTTTTTAGCAATGCATTTTTGAAAATATTATGAAATTAAATAATAAAAATTATATGCTTACTTATGAAGGTTTCAAAAAGAAAGAATCACACCATTCCTTAAAGAGATAATCTAATTTTTTATTACAGTACGATATTTACAAGTTTTATGCTTTTAAATTTTCAAAGTTTTGACTTTTGAGTTTGATTAATAATATATTATAATTTTTTCATTTTTATAAATATATAAATGTAATTTTCCTAATAGAAATCTTATGTAGTATATATATGAGGAGATAATTTTAATCCTTTAATTAATTAAGGTTGAATTATTTTAATATTAAAAGGTAATTTAACTATATGGTTGTAAATAATAGATTTAATTAACTACCAATGTTAAAAAGCAATTATTCATAACATATAACTTAGAAGTATAAACGTGTCAAATGGATTTTGTTATAAAAATATAATTCAAATCGAAAACCATGCATGACTAATTTTATTTTAAAAATTAATCAAGTGAAATTATTAGAGAAATTAATTTTGAGTACACAAATATGATTTTAAATATCACCAATAATTGAATATGTGAAAAGAGAAAAATGTTTATTGGATATTTGGATAAAAATCTAATTAATCTAATCTAATCCATAATTCTTTTATCCTATATAGTTGGTCCGAAAGTTAAAGTACATCTGAATAGACATTCTTAAAACTTTTAATTATTTGTAAAATACATATTAAATATTTGTTCAATAAAATTATATTTGTATCTACTTAACCTATACAATTGACATATAAGATAATTTATTTTTAATAAAGTTAGTCCATGTCAGAAATGAAAATCACTTGAACTTCTATTTCGATAAACTTTTCCATAAGAATATATAGAAAAAGAAAATAAGAAGGTAAAATGTATAGAGTTTCTTCCACAAATTAAAATCATCTTATCTTTCATAGAAACTTTCTCATCCAACTTTTCTAAAATTTGAGATGTATAAGTTGATTTTAACTTATGAGAAAAGCTCAAGTCAATTTACATTCTTATTTTGTTCCTCAATAAATGCCTATAAAGAAGTTTATTCATACAAAACCTTGTAATAGGAGTTTAAAGGTCATGTTATAAATTATCTTAAAATATGGTATAAAATATTCATTCTAAAGTAATCAATAATTTCAATAAATTATTGTGTTATAATTATTAATATTCTTATTTGTTACACTTTACCTTAATGCTTTATATTATTTATAGATAAATTATTTTCTAATTACAAGTATGCTATTATGCTTATATCTTATGTTTGATTAATTTTTTTATACAATATTATCTTCATTAAATTTTAAAAACATATAATCTGACATATTTTATATTTTTAGTTTTTTTTTTTTAAATTTAATTTTACCATGCTAGTTGCAACACACGGGTATACCAGGACATTTTGATAGTGTGTGTCTCTCTATCATCCATTTTTAGAAACTGTTTCAGTGCCTGGAGAAGTAATGCATAACATTAACCATGTGAAGTTATATTTTCTTTGACAATCCTATCCAATCATATTGCCCAAGGAAGGCATATAAACATCTTCAACAAGCAACACAAACATCATATGTTTTTGTTTTTTCCTTAAATTTCTTATGAATATGTCCACCAGTATAATAACTGAAATAAGTACAGCTCAACACATGCCTCTGCGACTCTACCTATGTGCTCTTCTAGAGCAAGAATCTCTCAAGTCTCAACTAAACAAAATGAAGTCATCAGGTGTACAGCTATTTACCTCGTGTTGGACTGCAAAAGATTGAATCCTTTCACAATAAATTGAGCACTAGCACTTGCAGAAACAGCAAGTGGTTTAATGCACAAAATCTGACAATTTTGTGGGCTTTTGAGGCGCAACGGTACATCCAAGACCACCTGACCTGCGGTAGAAAATTACAAAATACAAAATAAATATGTTAGTTACCTAAGTAAGATGATAGAAGATTCTAGTGATAATTGAAATACAATCACATGGGAAGAATGCAGACAACAGAGTGAGAGAGAACAAACCATTATACAGAAAAGCTACAGAGTGCTGCACTCTTGTATAGATCCATCCTGTTCTCCAGAAAGAATCAGTTGACGCGGCAAGCTTTTTCAAGCTGGATCCAAGATTATAGCATAGCTGCATTATGAAATAGTAATAAATAAGAACATTTAGATTTTCTTTGATTGTTCCCATGGTTGCAGTATGCAACCAACATATGATAATATATCAAATTATACCTCTTCCCATGCAGAATTTTCTAGACGGAGATATATAGTTAATATGATACAGCCTGGCCTTATATAGCTCTCTATCTCTGTGGGGCTGTGGGATAACCAGTTAAGGATCTGGTGTAAAGAAAAACATAAATCAAACACCTTACAAGTTACAACAAAACAGTGCGGTGAAATTGTTTATAGCAATTTCAAGGCAGCGATAAAGTACCTGTGATCGGAGAGCATGGGGGAAATCATTTGGTGCCTTACCAAATAGTTTGAATACAATTCGATCCGTGCGACTCTGAAGAAAGGAAACAAATAACATGTCAATAAATACAATCCTCTGACAGCCACCATTACACTCAAATAAGTAAAAAGTTATTAAACTATGGAGGAGGAGGATGGATGCTCTATCTCTACATAGATTATGACTTTTATGAACACCAAAGTATATTACTTTATCAATTAGTAAGAAATAAATCAATTATATACACGAGTTGAGAAATACAAAAGCACAAGTTTCAAAAATTTACATCAGGTAACCAATTCCATGGATTTGCTATGGCTGAGAAATCTACAATACAAGAATATTTGGCTTAGCTGATAGACAAATTAAAACTAAAAAGAAACAAATGAATTAAAAGATTGTTTGCTAACTAACAATCTAACATAATATACTCATCCAAGCATGCTTTATAGTCTATATGATAACAAATGAATTAACAAGTGCCTTATCTGTTCTTTGATATAAAAGAAATAGGAACATTATCAAATTATACGGAATAAGGAAATGAAATCAAAATACTAAAATAATATACCTGAGCTTCTCCACTAGAACTAGATGGTGACTGGGTAGAGGTTGAATCTGAGTTTCTACTTGTCTGTGGTGGACTTGACCTGAGAGAGTCACACTGAACCCATAAAGGGTGATCATGAGATCCAAGCCCTGAAGGCAACGGCGGATGAGAATTCCTTGGGTTCTCAACATAATCCTGTACATCATCATATACACTATTCAAGTCAATATTACTTAACCCAATTCTTCCAACTGTAGTCCCTGCTGCAACTGATTGGGTTGGAAGGCTATCTCTTGACAGAAGTACATTTGAGGACTGTGGTCCTGAAGGAGATAGAGATTTTAGCTTTACTACTCCATCACTGCCTGAAGCTATACATTTTTTAGCCATATCATGAGCAGGAGTCATCTGACATTGTAACGTAGACTCTTGAGGGTCGTGATGGATTAGACCATCATCCATCTTGATAGAAGAACTGTAAGGTCTGGATGGTTCGGGACCATTTGAATTTGTGTTTGGAACATTATGCATAGTTCCAGATGTCCCAGCTTTTAACAAATCTTGAGATCCATCCAATAAAGACGCAATATTTCTTCCATTAATTGTACCAGCTAGATTTGCCAGGTTTCTCAACAGATGAGATAGAACATCCTGGTTTCTCATATTATCTGAGCCATTTGCTGCAATTTGTAGAAGGTAAAATATGTGCCAAATAAGTATGCCAATAATGAAATGCAACACTATGATAGATAGACATAAAACTACAAAAAACCATAGGTAATTAGAATAAGCTCAAAGGCAGCTTTCATCCTTTTTCAACAAATGTTTCAGCAGAACACGTTCTCACTATAAGGGTAAGGCTTCGAGCTTTCTAGTGATCCAATATTTATGTGCCCAAAACTTGGAAGGAATATGAATAAAAAAATGAAATGATAATATGATAGTACAGCCAAGAAAGACAACAAAACAAAATCACTATTCTAATGATCAGTCCAGGGTAACTTCCATTACCCAAATGATTTTCCCATCCTTTTGGCTATTGAAAATCCATGGTAGAGAATAGGAGTCGAGCTAAATTGTTCAAGACAACCACCAAGGTTTCAAGTAGAGTTAACCTAACGGTGAAGAAATTCTTAAATACCATTGGAGAAAAATAGATTCATAAAATCACCATAGCAACTAAGCAAGACATTCATTTAAATAATGCCTATTAGCATCACTAAATCATCATTACAATCAGGACACACATTTAATCCATACCATAAGATAACACATCCCAAATCATCCATGTTAGCATTATCAATTCAGCACTGAATTACCTTTTAAGACTTTACTAATCCACCTTCAAGTCATGAATGTTGGGCATGTAAACTCACTAGCTACTATAATACTAAATTACTACGAAATAAAGAGATCCAAGCACCAAGATCATATGCTGGAGTAACAAAAAAGGGCCAATTATATCAAACAATAAAAGGAACTTTATAAATATCCAGCATTATGTTATGTTAAATTTTTCTGGTTTTTTGTACAAATACTAGTAATAATTCCAGCAACCTGAATTAGGAAAACAATCAATGAGACAGCCAACCTAAAAAATCGCATTGGTGCTTAGAATTAAAGTGGGGCCAGTACTAAATTTCATATTTGGTATGCTTTTCAATTTAAGAATTAGAGTTCTAATTCTGAATGATAATTTCTAAGACTTGAAAAACAACTATCTACTATAGCCCTTCTCAACTCACCAATTCTAATTCCAAGAAACAAGAATAAATAAGATGCACTCTACATCCCACAATACATATATGAATATAACAACTCCAGCCACCTAGGTTTAATACTTCAACAACCATCACCTCCACAGCCGCCATTCCAATTTGCCACCACTACTTGGCTACTTGCACCACCGCTATATAATCTACTGTCACAGTATTATTAATTAATTTAAATGTGTTGGCAACATACATACATACATATATATCAAACAAGAACATTAGAACTAAAATCAGACTATAATTTTATTTCATAATTCATTGTGATTTGGGCCATTTGGCACAACGGCAAGGTACTACCCATGCGACCTGGTGGTCGTGGGTTCCAGGGACTGAAATCACCTCTCCACCTGTGAGAGTAAGGCTGCATACATTTGACTCTCCCCACACCTCAGAATAGTATCCCACACACCAGGCAACCCAATTCATTGTGCAATGCAATCATAAAGTTCAAATTAAAATTAAAAGAATTATAATTCCAAACATCAATAGTGATTTGGTGGGTATTTTTGTTTTGGTGAAATACAGAATAACAAAACTAAAAACCTCTAGGAAAACTAGTCCTAGTAAAATCTGTCCTCAAGGCATTACAAATAAACTCTGGCACAACATCATAAACATGTCTCTGACAATTGATTTGCATCCCATGCTTAGCCAACAAATCCACAACCTGATTTGCCTCCCTGAAAACATGCCTCTACAAATATTACCATTATGTTGTCCATAGGGTGGATGTTACCCTGTTATGAGAATCACTAGGGAACTAACCAAAGTTGTTAGTAGGTGGATAAATGGTGCACAAGAGATTATTTTACCCAAGCAAAGGACTGCCCTTTCACTTCTACTATTAAGAACACCAAATCATCCTATTCTTCAAGGAGGAAATATCACCCAGACAATGCAACAAACAATGGAAAAAGAGAAGTTTCCACAGATATATATCTTTGGGGGGAAAATCCCAGGTATTAAGATTAAGTGCAAACTTCTGCAGTCTCAATGACATAACTTAGGTAAAATGTTACAAGTGCTCAGTGTAACATATCAGATTAGCCATGCCAAAGGATATTAAAATTTCGGTTAAGGTTCAACCTCTTAACATTATCAAAGGGACACCTAGAAATATTTCTAGAGAATTATCCAGACACATATCTCTCCAGTTAAAATAAAAACTGGAGAGTGTCCAGTTTAATAATCTCACCATTCATACATACTTTGTTTATACTTTATATATTAACTTTATTAAATATTAAAATTAAGCAAGGGCTGAGATTGCGTCCGGTTTTTTCTAATCTGGAGAGAATCTTTTTCCAGAATTATCCACCCAAAAGCACAAGAAAATTACAGGAGTTTTGAGAATCAATTCCCATCAAACTCGGAAGTTAATAATTGTTAGTTATACATATTATAGATACCATTTCTTGAAGATAATAATTATTTATTTTCAAGTTACCTCCTCGGAAAATTTATTTATGGTACAAAAGTTTCGACATGAAAGCATAAATCACAAGTTCAAAGATATCAATTAAATCCTGTCAGTTAGGTGTAGTCCATTACCCATACAGAGAGGATATACAGACAAAAACAAGACAATAAATAGCCAAATAAATAAGTTATGGTTATGAAGAATGCCATGCAGATAAACTTCTGAACAGACGCAAACTCACAATGCATATTGGATAGTATCCTCAGCAGACTCATTAACAGATAGGTACTGCCCTTTTCTTCATTCACAGAGCCTCCATTAACTACAGTAGCATCAGGATGTGTTTTCCTCCTCCTCTTATTGTGGCCTGCCAGACGCCTTCGACAACTTCTCTTCCCTTCATCAAATTCTTCAAGGACATGAAACCTGCCATAATTTTAACAAGTTATACCACCAACTTGGGGTGCTGAAGAAAATGTTCTGGAAACTAAAAATGCACATAGAGCAGGCTTTAAGCAATCAACTACAACGACAAGTAACATGGAGGGCTAGGGATTAATAACTTCACACCACACAGACCCTGGATTTTTCATCTTCCTCTTTAGAATATGTTCCAAAATATTAATGTGATGAACAATACATAAATACAAAATGAGCTCTCCATGAAACTATCATTTCATAACCTAACTAACCTGCTACACTGTTGACAGAATCTCTGCATAACATTTCCAACTAGAGCCTGGCTTGCCTTGGAATGCATATCACAAACTTTGTGGCGACGGTGGTAATCCTTCGCATTACTAAGATCAGTCCTACAATCTTCCACCTGACAAACAGCCCGATTCGAACTACTCGCAGCTATCTTTGTCTTCTTTCCACTTTTTTCCTCCCCTTCTATGATAGGGTATACTTGACCCCCAAGGTTCAAATTAAGAGAACCAGAACCAGTTCCATCATTCATTTCCACCCCTGCTTCTTCAATAACACCTCTCCTCCTCTTCTCCAATTCTCTCTTTTCTTCCCCAAGGTTAACACCATCATATGCAGGAGACAAATTGTTAGTACCATCAGCAGTTGCAAGAATTTCAGGATCAGTAGGGAACAATTGACGACTCCCACAATCTGATGGCACTGAATTCAGTTGCCTAGCAGTGAAAAGATCCCCATCCCATTTCCAATCATTCAAATCCCATTCTAAACTTCTCTTTCCAACACTCTTCATCTCCGGCACCACAGGTCCATAAAAATATGGACTTTTCCCCTCTAATTGAGCCTCCATGAATCAAGACCTCCACAATAAAAAAAAATCAGCAAAATCACAAACACCCAGATTCCAAATCCACCAGAACACAACACCCAATTGGAGAAATCACAGCAAAAACACCCAGACTTAAAACCCTACCACCATAAACACTAGCTTTATTCACCCAGTAACACCAAATAACAAGAACAATAAACCCCACACGGATCCAAACAACAGCTGCATACCCAAAACCAGCAAGGAGGGCAGAATCAACACTGAAATCAAGGGGAAGCAACCCAGAATTGCAAAATCCAACCTTGCAGCATCATTTCACACGGGCCAAGAGCTCAATGTCACATGTGTTTTGAAGGGTGAAAGATGTTTGCATCAGAAGTGATGGGAAGTTGAAAGGAAGAGAAGAGAGGCAAAATTGGAAGTGGAGAGATGGGGAGAATGAAGAATATAGAAGGTGGCCACAGAAAGCATGCGTCAAACAGAGGGAAATTAGGAAAAGGTTAGGAACGAATGTGAAGAAAATGCTGTTTCTGTGCTGAGACAGTGCCTCTCTCTCTCTCTCTTAATTTCTGTGTGATGCCATGGTAAAGGAATCTTAGGGGCTATAAACTCTTTCTCTGTGGTAAAACTGAAATCAAGAAATTGTAAAAGTCTGAAACAAAATATGCACACAATGACCGAGGAAGGTAACAACTGACTACTACCTACGTTGTCATTAATAATTTTAAATTTGTTTGACTTACATTTTTTTTTTGTTACTACACTGTGTAAATCTGCAAATCAAATTTCTAATTTTAAAATTAAATAATATTAGCTATTTTAAGCATGTCATCTAATATTAAACATAGTAACATGTTAATGATGACCAACAATGCAGCACCATTATGGACATTATTAATATATACTTTCTTTATTTTTTTTTTAATTGTTTTGTTAGTATTTTATTATTTTTTTATTGTTATTTTTCTAAAACTAATGATTTATTAATTTTTTTTATGTATTTTTATTCTTGATAATTAATATATGTTTACTGAATAATGTGTCTATTCATTTTCTAATATACTTATTTCTTCTTCAACCATCTAAAGGGTATAACAGGAAAATAGATAATAAATACTTTGAAAAACTAAAATATCAATCATTTTCTTAATTCTTGTACATAACCTTAAACAACAATAAAAAAATGAAAGAAATATATATATATTAATTTTGAATAATATGTTAGGAATGAACCAATATTATTTAATTTTAAAAAGTAAGAGGCAAAATTTGTAATAAAATCTTTTTAAGAGATCAAAATTACATAATTTCCAAAATTAATTTAAGTCAATTTATTTTATATACCAACTTATAAATCTTATTTATTGAATAAAATAAGGGAACATTTGGTTTCATGTTCCATATACCCAAAATTAGTTTTGTTGGGTTTGAAATTCTTGGAATGTTGTCATTGCATGTTTGGTTGTTTGACAAAAAAATAAAGATTTTAAGCTGCCAAAAATTCATGTCCTCCAAGAAGCAACTTATAATATTTTCTCCATCAAACAAAATTGATTAGAGCTTAGGAAGCAACCACCATCCAAATGTATTTATGAAGTTAAAAGAGTTTTAGATTGGTTATATTATGGAACTAACCCCCGTATTTATGTTTCAAATCATTTTTTTTTGTCACTTACCATATAGCTTCTTCCTCTTCTTACCATATTTTATAAAGCTTAAAGTTACTCTTAGACTTAACTTTTAATCTTGTTTCTTTTCTAGTCGTACAAACATTAAATATTGAGGTTTGGTTGTTGACAATTATTAATATTTTATTAATTCATTTCTACTATCAAATTTTATGGGTTATGCTGAAGGAAGCTTAATATACGTTCATTGTTTTTGTTCTTTTTATTCTCACTAAATCTACTCTTGATCTTTCTAATTTTCAAAGTAAGTTGCAGTTCTCTTTGTTCTTTTAATCTCTCTAAATATGTTTGTTGTTCTTACTGCATAATTTATATTCTACTTATTGATTGTTTTTCACATTTAACAAGAAGATATATTGATTATGAATCTATGCTTCTTAAAACACATTATTTTCTTTGTTATCCAAACTTTATGTTTGTTAATATGATTGAGTTTATGTTCATGTTTAGAATTACAAATACCAAAATAGACAAGGTTGTTTGGGAAGCAAATGAGAGTTTCATTATAGCATGCTTAGAGCACCTGACTAATACAGAACACCTTAGTACTAGTTTTAGCAAGAACGGGTGGCTTAGAATTTCAATCAAATTTAAGGAGTTAACTAGAAGAGACTATCTAAAGTCGAAGTTTAAGAATAGGTATGATAACCTTAGAAGAGATTGATGAGCATGGTATAAATTATTTAGTAAAGAAACGGGCTTGGGATGGGACAATACAAAGAATATCATTGAGGTACCAAATGATTGGTGGGAAAGGAAAATATTGGTATGTGCTAAATAAGTGTGCATTTTGATAAGGATTAGGCTTATGTTTAGTGTTGCTATCATGATGATATTAGGTTGTAAACATGGAAGAAAACCCTCAATATGCAAAATTTAGGCGCTATAGGCATGCATTTGCTTAGTAGTTGACCACACTTTTTAAGGATGTTGTGGTTAATGGAGAGTATGAATATGTTAAGTCATACGAAGAACCTCCCAACAAGGTTTTGAATGCGATAAATATAATACATGTTGTTATTTCTAACAAGTGTGTTAGTGTTTCAGAAAAATATAAGAACATGTAAGATGAAGAACAAGCATTTGCATCAGACGATACAAGACGACAGGCGGAAGCTTCCTATAGACAAATACAAGTCAAAGCAAAAGAACTCAGACGGAAGGTGGTCAACGACCAAAAAGAAAATCCAGAAAAAATAGAAAGTCTGACCATATACAAGTTGACCAGACAAAAGGAAAAGTCAATACGTTAATGACAAATGCTCAGGCAAAGGTCAAGGCATGAGCCACATATAGACTAGCAGATGCAAACGAAAATTGTCACGCAATCACCTGAAGAATCAAGCTTCAAAAGACAATTTGAATGTCGTCCACACTCATAGGAGAACACACGAAGTCATCTAAATTGTAAGAAGAAAAGAAGAAAGGAGAAAATCAAGCACAAAACTAAAAGCATGCATGTGTCAGAAAAAGTACATTACTTTTTCAGACAAGGACAAAATTCCACAGCTATGAGACTAGAAAAAGGAAAAAAAGGTTCCTAGGTCTCTACTAAACTTAGACACTGCTGCTACCAAGACAAAGAATATTTCACGCAAGGTCTATCACAAGAGACAACATTTAATGCAAGAATCTGAGCATTAAATGAGAGGATCAAACTAGTCGTGAACGACTATATCTGCTTCAACGAACACTTGCAATGGGCAGATTTCACAAGACTATATATAGGTCTCAACATCAAACCTTAAAAGGTTGGCTGTTTGGCCCAAAATGGTTCAAGCAAGAAAAAAGAGTGATATCCAACCCATGATGCAACGAAAGTAGAGATAGAGCATATAGAGTCAAATATGCCATAGTGTATTCATCTTTGTAAACTAAGGAGTTCCAAACATGTGTAACTTAGGAACAAAACCTTAGTGAGTGTACCAACTTATGTATCCTCTCTAGAAGAGTAAACCAAACACTCAAACCTGATTATATGTCTAACATTGTAAAGCCAGACGAGGCTAAGAAAAAAAATACTTGTAAAGCCCAGAGGGGCTTGTCAAAGAATACTCAATGCTAGCCTGAAGAGACTGAAAAGAATATATTAGCGTTGGTGAGTGAAGCCGACGGGCCAGGAGTGGTCGAGAATACTTAGGGAACCAGAAGTGGTTTAAGAATACTAGCGTTGGTGAGTGAAGCCGACGGGCCAGGAGTGGTCGAGAATACTTGGGGAACCAGAAGTGGTTTAAGAATACTAGCGTTGATGAGTAAAGTTGACGGGCCAGGAGTGGTCGAGAATACTCTAGTCCAAGAGTGGACGATAATACTCAATGCTAGCCTGAAGAGGTTGAAAAGAAGATACTAACGTTGATGAGTGAAGTCAACGGGCCAGAAGTGGTCGACAATACTTTTGTACTTAATTGATTATCTAGGGGAACCCTTCAGTTGAAGGGGACTAGACGTAGCTCAGTTGAGCGAACCAGTATAAATATGATTGCATTGTTTTATTTATATTTCAGACGCAAACTCTTCGTAATTGATAAATCATGTTGAAAACCTCGTCTGTTATTTATTCTTCATTGAAACTATTTTTCCAGATGAAGACGCAGATTTTGGTTAGCAAACATAGTACATTGAAAAGCTTTATCTACTGCCTATCTTTAATTGAAACTATTTTGAAAAGGAAAATTCATGAACCGTACTCATTACTGTTATATGAAACATTTTCCCTCAGCAATCGATAAATAGTTCAGACGCAGTGCCCTTGTGTTAAGCAAATTCTGCATAACCGTCTGGTATTTAAAAGTGCAATAGATGAAAAATATTACTCTTGCGAAAATGGCTTTTAAGATATCCTTGTTCACACACACACATATTCAACCCCCCTTCTATGTGTTTCATGTCTAACTTCAGAATAGACTCCCTTAACTAAGGTGTTGCCTATTGGTTTTAACAATGATGTCAATGATGTGTACCATCCAAGTCTTGAGGGCATTAGCCTTAATTTGGAGGAAGGTTCAAGTGACAATGAAGATGGTAGTGTTGGTATAGTAAATGAATTTAAAGGCCTTAATTTCAATGTTTTCTTAAGAAATTGCTTCCCAAGGATTATGAACTCAAAATAACGGGGAGACGAGAAAAAGAAATAATAATATTGTTATGAAAGGTAACAAAAAGGAAAATGCCTAACCAAGAATAGTTGATAGGATTGGTGTACTAGTTAAATCATGTAAATCAAATGTTGATGCTACAACTAGTACATCCATTGGTGATGTAGTGGCAGAACTTCAAAAAATCCATGAAATAAATGTGGTTGTATTTTTCCAGGCAAGTGTGTTCAATTGATGGTGCCCAAGTCAAACAAAGACATGTTCCTTGCATTGGAAGATGATATGGATTGACTTATGATTATAATAGATAACCCAAATGGCTTAACATAATGATTGTTTTATAATAAACCTTGATTTAAAAAAAATATGGATTCCTTGATGGATTGACTTATGATTGTAGTAGATAACTCAAATGACTCAACGAAGCGATTATTGTGTAAAGAACACTAATTTAGGAAATTTTGGATGCCTTGATGGATCAACTTATTTTCTTGTGTTTGTTTTATGTATATTGAACTCTGAATTATTGTTATGTTTGTGTAATAGTAGAATGACTACCATCATGGGTTTGTTTTATGATTATTGAACACTGAATTATTTTATATTGAGGTATGACTATAACCCCATATGAAAATTATGTTTGCATCATTTCACACTTGTTCATAAATTTTTTTATTATATTTGTATATGTGAAAATGAATAATATGAATCATTGGTATGGAGGTTTTAAAACTAATATTGATGAAGATGATGATATTATGGAAAAAGAAACTTATGTGAGTGCACTCGTAGGTGAGTATGTAGTAAAATATTTATGTAAAG